AAAAAAAACGACAGTGGTTACCCCTTACGTTTTTTTTTTGGGGCGAAAAATTAAGTTTCTCCAATCTTCCCAAAACTCTGGATTCTGATAGAGGGCCATGAGACTTAGACCTGAGTGCAAAAATGGAGGCTCTAGCCCCTTCCAGAGCTGAGATATCGAAACTCAAAAATTGGGCCCGAAAAAAAAAAACAGTGGTACCCCTTACGTTTTTTTTTTGGGGCGAAAAATTAAGTTTCTCCAATCTTCCCAAAACTCTGGATTCTGATAGAGGGCCATGAGACTTAGACCTGAGTGCAAAAATGGAGGCTCTAGCCCCTTCCAGAGCTGAGATATCGAAACTCAAAAATTGGGCCCGAAAAAAAAACGACAGTGGTACCCCTTACGTTTTTTTTTTTTGGGCGAAAAATTAAGTTTCTCCAATCTTCCCAAAACTCTGGATTCTGATAGAGGGCCATGAGACTTAGACCTGAGTGCAAAAATGGAGGCTCTAGCCCCTTCCAGAGCTGAGATATCGAAACTCAAAAATTCGGCCGAAAAAAAAAACGACAGTGGTACCCTTACGTTTTTTTTTTTTTGGCGAAAAATTAAGTTTCTCCAATCTTCCCAAAACTCTGGATTCTGATAGAGGGCCATGAGACTTAGACCTGAGTGCAAAAATGGAGGCTCTAGCCCCTTCCAGAGCTGAGATATCGAAACTCAAAAATTGGGCCCGAAAAAAAAACGACAGTGGTACCCCTTACGTTTTTTTTTTTGGGCGAAAAATTAAGTTTCTCCAATCTTCCCAAAACTCTGGATTCTGATAGAGGGCCATGAGACTTAGACCTGAGTGCAAAAATGGAGGCTCTAGCCCCTTCCAGAGCTGAGATATCGAAACTCAAAAATTGGGCCGAAAAAAAAAACGACAGTGGTACCCTTACGTTTTTTTTTTTTGGGCGAAAAATTAAGTTTCTCCAATCTTCCCAAAACTCTGGATTCTGATAGAGGGCCATGAGACTTAGACCTGAGTGCAAAAATGGAGGCTCTAGCCCCTTCCAGAGCTGAGATATCGAAACTCAAAAATTGGGCCCGAAAAAAAAACGACAGTGGTACCCCTTACGTTTTTTTTTTTGGCGAAAAATTAAGTTTCTCCAATCTTCCCAAAACTCTGGATTCTGATAGAGGGCCATGAGACTTAGACCTGAGTGCAAAAATGGAGGCTCTAGCCCCTTCCAGAGCTGAGATATCGAAACTCAAAAATGGGCCCGAAAAAAAACGACAGTGGTACCCCTTACGTTTTTTTTTTTTGGGGCGAAAAATTAAGTTTCTCAATCTTCCAAAACTCTGGATTCTGATAGAGGGCCATGAGACTTAGACCTGAGTGCAAAAATGGAGGCTCTAGCCCCTTCCAGAGCTGAGATATCGAAACTCAAAAATTGGGCCGAAAAAAAAACGACAGTGGTACCCCTTACGTTTTTTTTTTTTGGGGCGAAAAATTAAGTTTCTCCAATCTTCCAAAACTCTGGATTCTGATAGAGGGCCATGAGACTTAGACCTGAGTGCAAAAATGGAGGCTCTAGCCCCTTCCAGAGCTGAGATATCGAAACTCAAAAATTGGGCCGAAAAAAAAAACGACAGTGGTACCCCTTACGTTTTTTTTTGGGCGAAAATTAAGTTTCTCCAATCTTCCAAAACTCTGGATTCTGATAGAGGGCCATGAGACTTAGACCTGAGTGCAAAAATGGAGGCTCTAGCCCCTTCCAGAGCTGAGATATCGAAACTCAAAAATTGGGCCCGAAAAAAAAACGACAGTGGTACCCCTTACGTTTTTTTTTTTTGGCGAAAAATTAAGTTTCTCCAATCTTCCCAAAACTCTGGATTCTGATAGAGGGCCATGAGACTTAGACCTGAGTGCAAAAATGGAGGCTCTAGCCCCTTCCAGAGCTGAGATATCGAAACTCAAAAATTCGGCCCGAAAAAAAAACGACAGTGGTACCCCTTACGTTTTTTTTTTGGGCGAAAAATTAAGTTTCTCCAATCTTCCCAAAACTCTGGATTCTGATAGAGGGCCATGAGACTTAGACCTGAGTGCAAAAATGGAGGCTCTAGCCCCTTCCAGAGCTGAGATATCGAAACTCAAAATTTGGGCCCGAAAAAAAAACGACAGTGGTACCCCTTACGTTTTTTTTTTTGGCGAAAAATTAAGTTTCTCCAATCTTCCCAAAACTCTGGATTCTGATAGAGGGCCATGAGACTTAGACCTGAGTGCAAAAATGGAGGCTCTAGCCCCTTCCAGAGCTGAGATATCGAAACTCAAAAATTGGCCCGAAAAAAAAAACGACAGTGGTACCCCTTACGTTTTTTTTTTGGGCGAAAAATTAAGTTTCTCCAATCTTCCCAAAACTCTGGATTCTGATAGAGGGCCATGAGACTTAGACCTGAGTGCAAAAATGGAGGCTCTAGCCCCTTCCAGAGCTGAGATATCGAAACTCAAAAATTGGGCCCGAAAAAAAAACGACAGTGGTACCCCTTACGTTTTTTTTTTTGGGCGAAAAATTAAGTTTCTCCAATCTTTCCAAAACTCTGGATTCTGATAGAGGGCCATAAGACTTAGACTTGAGTGCAAAAATGGAGGCTCTAGACCCTTCCAGAGCTGAGATATTGAGGTCCCACATAGCATTTATGCCATTATAAATATCTCAATATCTAGGGTCTAGAGCCTCCATTTTTGCACTCAGGTCTGTGAGAGCCAGAAATATTGCTGGTTTGTGGGTGACCATACATACCGTACATATTTTCCACCATAATTTCCAAATAAATTCTTTAAAAATCCTACAATGTGATTTCTTGGATTTTTTTTTCACTTTGTCTCTCATAGTTGAATTGTACCTCTGATGAAAAATTACAGACCTCTCTCATCATTCTAAGTAGGAGAACTTGCACAATCAGTGGCTGACTAAATACTTTTGGCCCCGCTGTATATGATCCATTTATGTATAGAGAATCCTTGTCTCTTTATGAACGATGCACGTTGTTCTATAGATAATCTTTTCGTATTTCCATATCTGTAAATGTAATAACTCATAACAGCAGCTGCAAACACTGGCTATTAGTGGAGCAAGTAGATGCAAACTTTCCAATTCTTGGTTAGATTGATTGCATTATGAATACCATGTTTGTGCAATTCTTGTTTTTTAAATAGAGGATAACTAATGCCTTATTAACTCTGTGTTCTGTTGGTCAGATGGGTAAAGGGTCGTTCCTGGCCGGCAAGAGCTTCACCATGGCGGACGTCGTTTGTTTCCCAGTTATCGCCTATTTCCCACGATTTCAGTGAGTGAAACCATTATCAATCCTCCTTACACAGCATTATTAATCAGGTTAAGGTTTGGATCTGAGGCTGGCTTAGGATAGTTTAACCAAATATGAGAATTAGCCCATGATTTAATCTCCCTCGATCCATCCTAGATGTATATTACATTCTTCTCTCAGAGGAACACAATCAGAGTTATATTAAACTCTTCCAAACTTTATAATGGCAGTGGATGGCTATATTTTTTGATTCCATTAAAGTGCTTCTACCCATGATAAAAGCATTTATGACATGATAAAAGGATGCACTTTTATGATGGATAATTTTCATATTTGGGTGAACTATCCCTTTAATGTTTGATGTGTTCGACTGGTTTAATGATGTTTGATGTGGTTCTACTGGTTTAATGATGTTTGATGTGTTTCTAACTGGTTTATGTTTGATGTGTTCGGGCGACTGGTTTAATGTTCTACTGGTTTAATGATGTTTGAATGTGTTTGACTGGTTTAATGATGTTTGATGTGTTCGACTGGTTTAATGATGTTTGATGTGTTCGACTGGTTTAATGTTTGACTGGTTTAATGTTTGATGTGTTTTGACTGGTTTAATGTTCGACTGGTTTAATGTTTGATGTGTTCGACTGGTTTAATGATGTTTGATGTGTTCGACTGGTTTAAATGTTTGATGTGTTTGACTGGTTTAATGTTCGACTGGTTTGATGTTCGACTGGTTTAATGTATGTTTTGATGTGTTTGACTGGTTTAATGTTCGACTGGTTTAATGATGTTTGATGTGGTTTGACTGGTTTAATGTTCGACTGGTTTAATGTTTGACTGGTTTAATGATGTTTGATGTGTTCGACTGGTTTAATGTTTGACTGTTTATTGTTTGATGTGTTCAACTGGTTTAATGTTGATGTGTTCGACTGGTTTAATGATGTTTGATGTGTTCGACTGGTTTAATGTTTGACTGGTTTAATGTTTGATGTGTTCGACTGGTTTAATGTTCGACTGGTTTAATGTTTGATGTGTTCGACTGGTTTAATGTTCGACTGGTTTAATGATGTTTGATGTGTTTGACTGGTTTAATGTTTGATGTGTTCGACTGGTTTAATGATGTATGATGTGTTTGACTGGTTTAAATGTTCGACTGGTTTAATTTATTTTTGATGTGTTCGACTGGTTTAAATGTTCGACTGGTTTAATGTTCGACTGGTTTAATGATGTTTGATGTGTTCGACTGGTTTAAATGTTCGACTGGTTTAATGTTCGACTGGTTTAATGATGTTTTGATGTGTTTGACTGGTTTAATGTTCGACTGGTTTAATGTTTGATGTGTTCGACTGGTTTAATGATGTTTGATGTGTTCGACTGGTTTAATGTTTGATGTGTTCGACTGGTTTAATGATGTTTGAATGTGTTCGACTGGTTTAATGTTCGACTGTTTAATGATGTTTGATGTGTTCGACTGGTTTAATGTTCGACTGGTTTAATGATGTTTGATGTGTTCGACTGGTTAACAGCTGTCCTAAAGAGAGATGTCCCAGACTGATGGAGTATTATGAGATGGTGAAGGAGCGTCCCAGTATTAAGGCCAGCTGGCCTCCACACTGGCTGGAGAAACCCGAGGGTCAGGACACACTGAAGAACCTGTGAGGAACATCGAGACGTTCAGCGGATCACATTAATATTGCATTAATAAGTTCAGCTTTGATGTATTCAGTAATTGCCTTTTGATTTTCTAACAGTCCTTTATGCAAGAATCAGTTCCCACCTACAACTGTTAAATCTCAGCTCGTGTCTCTGTCTTTCATTTGTCTGACGGTCTCAGCTTGTGTTCTGTCACGTGTCCTCGTTCCCGCCGCCGCTCGATCCGTGCACTTTGAACCGTTTCTAAAGATGAAGCTCATTGTTATTGTCTGTAATGGCAGATTAGCATATTGTTTGGAATTAATAAAGTTTTATCTTGTTCAATCAAACTGAGGAAATTATTTACCATCATTACAAGAAATGGATTTTGTGCTAAGAACCATTTTTTAACTCTGAAATGGTCTTTTTTGTTGACTTTTAGCATGTTTAGCAGACTTACCGTGTTCTCAATGGCATCCGCTGTATACATCACTTCTCAAGGCGAGTGTGTGCTGACTCCATCAGTTCTTTGTGGATTTTCAGGAATAACATTTATGGGACATTTTATATCAGATTTCGTTAGTGCTTTGAAATTCAATATTTCAACAAGCTTTTAAGATTTCCCCTTATTGGATATTGTGGATGCCCGAGACTTTCCTTTATAAGGGACTGTGATAGCGCCTACTATTAACCAGCTAACAGGCTTTTACGATAGTATTGTTAACAGTTAAAATTGCAATCATTTTTAAAATGAACAAATCATTAAAATAAAATGAAAAATAACAAATAAACATCTTCGTATGAATGCATTTATGTATTGAAGGACATTATCTCAATAACATGATCAGAAACACTGACGGCGTACTTCAGCAAGGGTTTATTATCGGCGGTGAACGCGTGCGGATCCAAGTGGACAACTGTTACAAGGCTTTCAACTATTAAACATCACAGACGAGTGAAATAACAGTTTCTGTTCAAACACTGTAAACTAAACACTAATTTTGAGATCTGAGCACGTCCTCTAAAACACATACAGAAAATCATCAATCTACAAAAAAACAAAAGGACAACAACATTTTTTACAGTCTCATTCATAGTCAAAAAATAGTTTCACCGTTCTGTACATTTATCAATTCCTGGAGACAGAATGCATCTGATGGAGATTTTATATTTATCGAAGTCTAGTTTTCTCCCATATTAAGGTGCAACATGATGACTCTCATTACAGCTGAACCGACACAGTAGCTGCGTTTACATGGACCCTTGTAATCGGATTGCAATCGGACTAAAAAACCTTCATGTAAACACCTTAATCGATCCGACTGAGCTCGATCCGACTAGAATTTCGATCGGATTGAAAGGGGTGGTTTACTCCTTTTGTAATCCGAGCGAGAGTTATTCGTTGTTATTCGTGCAGTGTGCGCATGTCAAAGAATCAATTCCGATTTGAATCTTGTGACATATAAACGCGCACATCAACCCGATCACTTTATATCATTCATGTAAACACCTTGATCGGATTCATCAATCGTATTTATTTCAATCCGATTGGGTCCATGTAAACGTAGCTACTAGAAGCAGGCCCTGGAGAACTAACCGAACCACAGACGGAGCCTCAGCTTTGGCCAAACCACAGGAAGGAGTTTATTATCCTCGTTCCTTCTGTGTCAAAGGCACATTGAAATCTACCGTAACACTCGAACAGAAGACGCCTACAGAGGACGGCAGGATCATAAAACACGCCGTTCTTCAAAAAGCACAGACGCACGTCATGTGTCACACCAGAACTGCAATATGGCAAAAGATAGAAAACTCCACAATAGTTTTAAAAAATCCAGTCCGTGTGTGTTCATATTCAATGCTCTCATCTTATACATTATAATAAATAGACCAAAAGTATCCCAATCTCCCTGACCAAACAGCTACAGGTCATCACTCCTCTGTTCTCTCCATTCGAGATGAGATTTAAACAGAAATAATTCAACAGAAAACCCTGAGTGTGTGTCCAGTCGGGGCTAGAACACATTCTCACCTTTTCTGTGACGTCGTGTCACTCAGTTCTAAAGTCACAGTGCAGGCTTGTGATTGGCTGTGATGTAACGAGGGCGTGGCGGAGCAGTGACGTCACTCTATATATGATCAGGTGATTCGTTAACGAGATGTTTTTACTGTGGGATCGTGTGTGTTGTGTTGTCCTGAGGTGTGTTCTGGGAAGGCAGAAGCGTCAGTGTGGTTCAGCGCGGGACGTCCCATTACACCGGCATCTCCGACGTGTCGAATCCCAGCGCCTGGGCTTCTTCTGGGGTCAAGCCCCCCTTCAGAGTCCGTCTCACTGAGACAAGAGACATCATGATCAGCTTTAATCAATCAGCTACAGGATCTGGTTATTAACCCTATAAACACACATTTAGGTTCAAATCGGACCATTTTCTCTCCTCCACATCATGTGTTTATTTCTTCAGCGGAAATGAAGGTTTCTGAGGAACACACTCTATATAGTGACTTCAATGGGGTCCAACGGGTCGAAGGTCATATGTGAGTTTCAGTGAGTTTCAAAGACCAGCATTAGTGGTTAAGAGTATATAAATGTGTGTTTTGTTGTGAATGTCACTGCTTTGTCTAGATCAGACTCTTATTCCTCGGCTGGATCGGGTCGAGACTTTGAAGCTGCTCTGAAACTCACATCTGACCTTCGACCCGTTGGACACCATCCTGGAGTGTGTTCCTCAAAAACCTTCATTTCCACTGAAGAAAGAAACACGTGAGCGTCGTCGAGGAGAGTAAACTATCAGGAGATTTCATTCTGAAGTGAACGACTCCTATAAGAGATTAACGTACGTGATTTTCGGTTAACGCGTGAGCGTCGTCGTTCGCGGGGTTGCGCTCGTTCTCTGGGACTCTGAGTCGCCGAACGCACGATCCGCTCCATGATGTCATCGGCAGCGTCGTCCGTCGCACACGGGGACTCTTCGTTCGCAGCGGCCAATACGGAGCGTCCTACAGAGTGAGAAACACACACACACACACACACATGAGGATGCAGGTTCGTTTTATCTAGTGTGTTCTACATGTTAAAGGGATAGTTCACCCAAAAATGTTAATTAGCCCATGATTTACTCGCCCTCGAGCCATTCTAGGTGTGTGTGACATTCTTCGAACACACGAACACACTCAGAGTTATATTAAACATGTCCTGACTCTTCAGGGCTTTATAATGACAGTGAATGGCTGTTTCTGTTTAAAGTCATAAAAGTGCATCAATCCAATAACATTTTTGGGTGAAGTAACCCTTTAATGCTGACGTGATTGTGTGTGTGTGTGTGTGTCTCACCTCTGCTGGCCCGTGTGCGCGTGCGTGTGCGCAGTGGAACCACAGTGGTGTCGCTGCTGTCGCTGCTCTGAACGCTGGTCTTCAGCACCGCCTTCATCTGCTCGTGTTCGGCTGTGTCTTCAGCGTGACACAAACCCTGCGGCTCCGCGTGCGTCCCGACAGGAGGAGCACTACTGCTCACACACACCCGACCCGCCTGGAAACACACACACACACAGTGACCATCACGGTCTCTACAAGAACATCTTTAGACGTGATTACAGCAGCCTAAACTTTTAGAGGATTCGTTTCCTGTCTGTAATATATAACAGGGTTTCCTAAACTGGGGTTCATAAGGTCATGAAAATAGTTCATAATAAAATCTTAAAAATGTCAAGCAAAAATAAATAAATAAATAAATAAAATCAATCAAAACAAAAGCATAAAAAAGATAAAAACAATCAAAATAAAACAGTAAAATGACTAAAAATGTTAAAAATATTTTTTTTAATAAAAGCAATTAAAATAAAACACATAATAAAAATAATAAATGTAAAAAAATATTAAAATAAAAACCATCAAAACAACAATAAAATAAACATTTTTAAAATAAATATAAATATATAAATAATCTTAAAATAAAAAACAATTTAAATAAATAATTTAAAAATAAAAATAACACTAAAATAATAAAATCGTAAATTTAAAATAAACACATATGGTTGAAATAAAAAAAAACAATTAAAATAAATGAATAATTTTAAATAATAAAAAAAATCCAAATAAAACACTAAAACATACAGTAATCTCAAGGCACATTAGTATTTTAGTATTACACACAAATAATGGTTTTAAGCCAGTTATTTATAGCTCTTATCAGTAAACACCAGTTTACATGTCGCCATTAACTGTAATAATCCAGTTCATCAGCCTGAGACTTACACTTACACACGACTGGATATTATATTTGTTTACCTGCATGTCATGTGACCATTAACTGTGAATGTGTTGATAAATAAGTATTCAACTTAAAATCTTAGTGTCACTTCAAGAAAATATTGCAGGTCAAATGGGTTTGGCTGACACCAAAAGTTTGGCTTTCTGATTGTTTCTGATGTAAAGAATCATTTTTTGCACAGATAGAATCTATATTCTAGACAACAGACAGAGATTCTGTCATAAACCTGAAACTCTCAAGTTAACACACACACACACCAGACCAAATCAAGACAAAAACACTGCTGAGCATTTCCAGGTTAGTAAATCTGTACGGGGTTATTCAGTGAGACTCAACCAGATGCTGTGAGCTTTAACAAACACCCAGTTATCAGACATCAGCGGTTAACATCTGCCAGAACACACACCCTCATACCTCACTGTCCTCTTCATCATCAGTCTGTGTGAGAGAGAGAAATGCAGGATGAAGAGACGGCGTACAGTCTCTAGTAGTGTGTAATCAGAACTCTGGCTCCGCCCACAGCACTGAATATTCAGACATCAAGCTCCACCCACATCATTGAATAATCAAAACACTAGCCCCGCACACATCACTGAATAATCAGACCTCAAGCTCCGCCCACATCACTGAATGATCAGTGTCAGAGATATGTGTGTGTGTGTGTGTGTCGTGGGGCTCACCGCTGTGGTGAGGTCTGTGATCATCTTCCCGCGCGTCTTGTTCCTCTCTCTGTGATCGGCCCGCTTCTGCCTCTGCTGCAGGACCCGGTCGCGTGTGGTCCGGTACTCCAGCGCGAACTCGCTGATGATCTTACTGAGGCGCGTCACACTCATGTCCCGCACGCTGTGGGCCGGCTGACCCAGGAACAGCAGGAACGAGTGAAACCTGCCGCGGAAACAGGAGTCATCAATCATCTCTACATCAGATTCAATATCCCGTCTGTAACGGCCAATCGCACGGGGATATCGCAGTTAACTCGAGTTACACACCGCCGTCATGTGTGTGTCACGCTGCTTCCTGATATCACATGCATACACACATATAACCTGTATTTATATATATGAAACAGTTATGCTGGTTGAACCATGTATTAATAAACTTCAGATTAGATATGTTGGTAATAGGCACTTAGCTAACGCTAAACGATGCGTCGTGCCGATAACCAGTGCATTTGGTTAGCGGTGTGTGTGTGACACGTGAATTTTGTGTCCCGCCCTCTCGAAAGCGTCATCAAGCGCCTCCACACTCGGGAAAAACATGGAAAACTACTTTTAAACAGGAAATGATGGAATATTTACGTACACTAGCATCACCTGAGCTCATTTTCCCGGACCTTTTTACCGAAGCTTAAGTCTCCGTAATCTTTACACCGCTGTCCGTGATGATCCCTGAGGTGCCCATTCGGACGGGACCGGAGTCACAGGAAGCTCTGCTAATGATCACAGTGACGTCGCGCGCTAGGCCTCACCTGTTGATGACTCGGCGGTGCACGATCTTCAGGATGATGATCCTCTTGGCGCAGTCCTTCAGGAAGTCCGACATCTTCTGCTTCAGCGCCGGCTTCATCTCGTGCTTCGCGATGACTTTCAGGTGATCCCATGATGCTTTGCAGCGCCACTCCATCTGGGTCAGGCTCTCCTGCAGCTGATCGAAATCCACCTGCAGAACGACACACACGTCCACCGGACAGTGTGACAGCTTTCACTCATTTATATATATATATGTTTTTGTTCTAAATGGTTTTAGGTTCATGCAAAAGACCATCAGTCTCCAGAACATTCATCACAGCTTTAGAAACATGTTAAACAGTCAGTAAAGAATGTGTGTGTGTGTGTGTGTGTCGCACCTTGGCGGAGCGTGTGAGGGCCCCGATCTCGGAGTACAGGTCGGTGCTGTCGGGGTGGTTCTCCACCACGAGGCCGCAGACGTGATGCAGGAGAGACTGCTTGTGCACCGTGTCCTTCACCTCAGGAACTTTCTCCAGATAACTCAGATCGAAGCCTTTCGCCTGTACACACACACACACACACACATCACGACTCACAGAACCTTTCTAATATAATGACTCTAAACACAAACGTCCGGAATATTTAAAGGTGCACTGTGTAATATTAAGGAGATCTGCAATATCATCCAATGATAACAAACGCGTTCATCACTCTGTCGTTCCTCGTGTAAAGAAGCGAATAAAACACTGAAGACTGAAGTCACAGTAATATTCGCAAATATTCCTAATTTCTTCATCTTTGTAAAGAAAGCTCATTGGTTAACTGGCTACACTCTGCTCTCTCAGACGACGACATCACTTCCTGTCAGCCACCGTAACTTCTGTTGGGTGCAATTCACATCCTCACCACTAGATGCGCTAAAACTTACACAGTGCACCGTTAAGTGTGTGTGGTGTTAAACCTCACGTTAGAGCCGTTCAGGAAGTTTCCGATGGCGAGCAGAGTGGACAGGATAACCCGTAGCGTTTTGTTTTTCTCCAGCTGATCCATGCCCTCCTTCAGGTCCTGTAGGGGCTCAGCCACTTCCTGTCAGAGCGGAAACATTGCATCGGTAATTATCTGATTAAATGCATGATGTCACATGGAAGATGGGCGGCAAATCGATCGGCAACCTTCCCGTCTCTCTTGAATCAACACTGAGTGAGTTAGCCTGCAGTTCCTCCACTGGCCACGAGAGGCGCTGCAGGGTAGACTCTCCCATAGACCCGCATGCTAAAATGACCAACTTTACAGCAGAAGAAACATGTTTAGAGTCTGGTGCAAAAAGTGGTTTTGGTCTGTGTGCTAATTCTGCCCTTCATGACGACTGTGAGGGGGTGAATTCTTTTATAACTCATCCGTTTAAATTATATTAAGCCTTAACGTTGTGCATAATTAAGGACGTGGCCACTGATGTCACTAGCCGTTTGTCTGCTGTGTGCTCAGCTAATCCGCCTCGCTGCACATTTACGTTTATCCACGAGTGACGCACGGCCAAGATGGCGACGGCCGGCTCCGCCCACTTTGGGCTTCAGGCACACTACGGCCATATTCTACACAGTCTGTGGTCTAGACACAGGCGACTCTCTCTTACTGCAGGATCTCAGATGGAGGCGAAAGCAAATGTGCTTCTCGTTATTAGAGTCTTTTGTTGGTGGCACACGATGTTCCCCTCAATTAGACTGAAAACATCTCCTGCCTCAGAGGAAAGCATGGAAAACCTGAGGAATTTACCGGAGAGAGAGAGAGAGTTATGTACTAACGCCTTCAAACGGGTTCCACCTCTGAATGTGAAGGTGATGCCTAAGTTCAAAGGTCACAGGTTCCCTGTGATGATTTCAAAACATCGATCTGTTAGTTTGATCACTTCGACTGAGGTCCCGTTCTGAAAACATTTAACCACTGTTATTTTTATTATCATTGAGTTTTTTTCTTTTAATATGTCTTAATACAGTTTTTATTCATATTTTTACAGTTTTAGTTATTGAGTACATCGTTAAACTAAATGAAAATGAGAAATGTTTCCTTGGTGACTAGCTTAAATATATATATATATGTGTCTCGATCATCAGATCCTCATATTAGAGTGATTTCTGGAGGATCATGTGACACTAAAGACTGGAGTAATGATGATAAATTCAGGAATAAATGACACTTTACGGGATATTCACATAGAGAACAGATGATTTACATTAGAATAATATTTCACAGTTTTACTGTATTTTGGATGTAATAAACACAGCCTTGATGAGCAGAAGACACTCTTTCAAATAAAAGACCCCAAACTTTAGAACCTGATAAATGCAGATGAACGGATGAGTGGAAGAACAGATGAGTGGATGATCGGATGAGCGGATGCCTCACCTTCTCAGTGGCTTCATAGTCGAGTTTGAAGGCCCAGAGCTGCAGGCGTGCCGAGAGCTCGCTGATGGAGGACAGCGTCAGGAGGAACTGCTCCGCGCTTCCCAGCGGGATATCAGGATTCAACAGCTGAGCTTCCTGGATCCTCTGCGTCTCCTCCTCCGTGGGTATCATCGTCAGGATTTTCTACAGTAGAGAGAGAGAGAGAGAGAGAGGGTTACTCAGAAAGGTTACATTCTAAATATTCTGTTTTACTCAAAATGTAACACTCTAACAATCGAAATATTCCAAAAATGTTACAGTCTAAATATTCACTTTCACTGGGAAATGTAACATTGTAACATTCTAAATATCCTCTTTTTATTGACTCAGAAAGGTTACATTCTAAACATTCTGTCTAGATATGCGATGTAACAAATGTGGGAGTTCCTGCACCTCGATGCCCTCTTTGTTGAGCGCGTACTCGTCGAAGTTCAGGATGGCGGTTTTGATGGTGCGCGGCGGAGGAAGGACCGTCAGGCCGATGTTGATGGAGTTGCTGCGTTTGGAATCCAGGATGATAATCTCCTGCCGCTTCCCGTCCGCTGCCGTTTTCTGTTCAACACACACGTATAATCTGACATCACAGCTGACTCAATCTGGGCTAAATAATGATCAATCAATTTGATTCCAATAAAAATATATTCACATAAATACAGTTTTATTTAAATAAATAAGAAATACAAAATAAATAGATTAAAATACACTGATTTAAAGAAAATATTTTTTTTAAGAAAAAAAATCAAACATTTGGTTAAAATAAATAGAATTTTATTTATTTATTAATTTAAATAAATAAGAAATAAATTAATAAATTAAATTAAAATAAATAAATATTTTTGAAGAAAAAAATATAAAAATGAATACAAACATTTTACTGAAATAAAATAAAATTGATCAAACTAAAATAAATAATATTTGTTGAAATAAAGTATAACTATATAAATTGTAAAATAAATAAATAAATAAAAATTAGGTTAAACTAAATAAATAAATTGATAAAAATAAAAATAAATTATTAAAAAACAAACAAAAAAAAACTAAAATACCCCTGACTTACGTCTAACAGAAATGAAGTGGGTTAAATGTATAAAATGAAATTGTCACAGTACTAATTGGGTCACACTCTCACACACACACAGTTATGTTTCGCACTGAAACACTACCCCTGCTCACCTTAGCCGCGGGCATCTCCTTGGATTTGCTCTCGAACAGAAGCTCGAGTTTAGCGGTGTCGACTTTGACCGGTTCCAGTCGGGACCAGAGCGACTCCTGGCTCCGCCTGTGGTTCCGGCAGATCCAGTCGGCGGGCCGAACTTCACTCCAGAACAGCCGGATGGTCTTCTTCCTCTTCTGGTAGAGTGGTGTTAGCTCCGCCTCCTGCTGTGGAGGGGGCGGAGCCTGGCCGGAGAAGCACGGAGGGGGCGGCGGCACGCGGATGCTAAAGATGGGAGGGGGTGGGGCCTGGCAGGCGAACATTGGGGGCGGAGGCGGGAGATTAAAGGGGCAGGGCGGAGGAGGGGGCGGAGCCAGCAGATCTCCAGAGCTCATTAAACTTCCCGAGTCCAGCACGTCCTGATCGTCCTCGTCTGTGAGGTCGGTGAAGTCGATGTCTCCGATGCGCAGGTCTCGTGGACTCGCCATCAGCTGGTCCCATATGCAGTCTGACTCCTTCTTCACAGGAGGAGGAGGAGGAGGAGGGGGAGGTGCCTGCGTTTCTATTGGTGGAGAACTGAGACCCTTCACCAGCTCTCCGAAGCGCTCGGCGAACGCCCGTACGTTGCTCTGGGTCTCGACTCGCTGCTCTCCGTCAGTCGTGCTAACGTTCTCGGCCTGCGTCGACGCTAACAGATCCTCCCGCTCTTTCTCTCTTCCGTCACGCTCCTTCTCTTCGCTCGGCTCCTCTTCGTCCTCCTCTTCCTCCGAGGGCTTTTTGCTCTGCGAGTAGAGCATGTCCAGCATGAAGAGTTTGCTGTCGAGGATCTTGTTTCGCTGTTCATTCACGCCGCCGCTCTGAGACCACTGACCTGCAGCAAACACACACACACACATCATTCTTCTTTTATTCAGTCTTTCTCTTCTTCTGCTCACGTTCTCACGTGTGTAAATACATTTAGCTGTGTTTTACTCAACATCATTGTAGAGACTTTGAAAACAGGAAACTGTTTATTATACTTCAGCATTTTCATATGCAATTTTTTCTTATTTAATAATGTATATTTATATTAACTTAAATATGTTCATCTATAAATTCACATATAACAATTTATATAAATTTTAATATTTATGTATAATATATTATCTCGTGATATTAATTATTAAACATTTTAATGAACTTTACATTTTATTTGCATTGATTTTTATAGTTTAGAATTTTCAAATGTCTTTTTATTTCACTATTTTTTATATTTAATTCATTTCATATATTTAATTTATAAATTACATTAAATAATATGAATTACTACACTCTTTCATATTTAATTTTAATTAGATTACATATAAATATGATTCAAAATATTTAATACATATCACATTTAATAATATGTCAAATTTTAATTTTACTTTAATATTTTAGATTTTTAGTTAACTTTAAATTTTTATAGTTTAGCATGCACAAATATACTTTTTGTATATTTTCGATTTCTCATATATCATTTTATATATAAATGAAATGATATATTTTTAGTTTTAGATGCAGATGCAAAGTTTTAGATGCAGAAATCATTTGTACTACTTAATATTTTAGATTTTTAATTAACTTTAAATTTGACATTTTTATAGTTTAGCATTTTCAAATGTACTTATTTTACATTCATATTGAAATTGCATTGTATATATATATATATATAAATAGTTTTTTTTAATTGAGATATATACTGTATATAAAAACACATATTGAATTATATTGTATTATATATTTTTATTTTTTATTTATAATAAAACTTTTAGATGCAGTAATCATTTCTACTACTGACAGTTCAGTAATGATTTCAAGCACACATTTGCATCATGTCATGCGTATGAAAGAGAAGGTTCGTATAGGAGTGTGTGTGTGTGTGTGTGTGTGCCGACATGAGTGTGTGTGGCCTCACCGGCCTCCGCGTGATCCTCCCTCTCCAGTGTGCTGCTGGCGGACGAGATGCTGGAGGCGGAGCAGTTATCCTTCTCGTTCACCTCCTCGTTCTGTCGTTCTTTATCGCTCAGGATCCCACTGTCCTCCGCTTCTCCATCAGGAGCTTCCCGCTCAGACTCCTCCCCTTCCTCCTCAACCTGCTCTGTGGCCCCGCCCACCTCCTGTTCTGACCCCTCCCCTCTCTCCTCAACCTGCTCCTCGGCTCCGCCCACTTCCTGCTCAGCACTTCTCTCCTCCACTTCCTGTTCCGGGTCTTCTCCGGGTTCTGTTTGCTTCTCCTCCAGTTCTAGACTCGCCTCCACATCCGGTTCTAGATCATTGGTGTCTGTGGAGAAGGTAGTGGAGGATTAAAATCTGCACACACACACACACACTGCTGCGGTAAATAGAGTGTACACTAGCGGTCAAAATTATTCCTTAATTTAAACACAAAAATGTCTTCTGCTCGACCAGGCTGTGTTTACTGGATCAACATCAGATCCTCATATTAGAGTGATCTCTGGAGGATCATGTGACTCTGAAGACTGGAGTAATGATGATAAACTACATAAAGGAATAAATGACACTTTACTGGACATTCACATATTTCATAAAAATCATCAAATCATAATCACTCTACACTTCTGGTCAGTGAGTGTGTGTGTGTGTGTGTGTGTGAGACATTATAAGGTCCTTCACACTGGAAGGCCTCTGTGTCCCGGATATGAACAGGAAACACACCTGTGTGTGTCAACGCCCGACCAAACACACACACACACACTGTGTGTAAAAGAGAGAGTGTGTGTGTGTGAGTGAGTGTAAGTTTGAGTGCGTGTGTTTGTGAAGTGTGTGTGTGTGGTGATATAAAGGTTACAGTATCAGCGCTCATGACTGAGTCCTTTTAAACCAGTGAAACAAAGACACACTGACTTCAGAACAGTTGTTTTCTCTTTGCGACCTCATTACACACGTCTGCCGCTGCACTTCAGAATTACACTTATACTGTGTGTGTGCATATATATATATGAGCCTTGCACCACTACAAAGTTAATAAAGTAAATCTATAAGAAAACATGTAATGTGTGATCTAAACTGAACACAGCACACACTGATCTGAAGTGTTTACAGTCCAACATGTGCAGGACCCATGAAACACTTCAGCAGCTGACACACAATAAACAACCTGCAAACAACCAACTCTCTCTATCACACACACACACACACACACTACCCGCTCGCTCACACTGATTGATTATATTCTGTAATCAGTGTGTCAGTGGATTTACCTGGTTCAGGGGGCGTGTCCTGCTCATCCAGTGATGTCACAGAGGTGGGCGTGGCACTGCGGGATGATTGACAGGTGTCAGTCGGGCTCAGAGTGAGGCTGAGACCTCGAGGTGTCGAACGCAGTCGCTCTCGCTCGAACTCCTCCGTGGCCAGTCGCTCCGCCGTCTTAAACCTGACACACACACACACACACACATCCGTCAGAGGAAACACTCTCATGCTGTGTGTTTTGGGTCGCACAGGAGAGCGAGGGGAATGTTTGGATTTCAGGAGAAGGTTAAAAAAAGGTTGAGGAGGGAAATCAGTCTAAACCTGTTCAAGATGTGACACCAGTCACCACACACACACACACACACACCTTTACTTAGATATCTAAATGGGTTTTTTTAGGCTGTACAAACTGCATATTCTCTCCCCGCCCTCACACTAACCCGACCCATCACACACAAATTTAAAAAAAAAAATTACTTTATTTTTATACCAGATTTATAAACGAGGACGTTCCTAAAGGAGGTTTTTGGAGATTTTGGTCACTTCTGGGTACAAATTTGTCCCCAAAATAAACTAAAGTAGGTACACACACACACACACACACACACACTCAAGACTTCATAATCACTGACTAAATATGAATATTCAGGTAGTCTGGGAATAAACTCACCTCTCATCTCGAGCGTGTCGGGCCTCCTCCATGTTGGAAACATAGTCCCGACTGCACACACACACACACACACACACACACACGTGAAGAACAGGTTGTCTGTCTGGTATAGTTGTGTATAAGTGAGAGGATGTTGTGTTGTTAAACCTCTGTCGATTGCGCTCCTCTCTCTCGATCCTCTGCAGTCGCTCCTCTCGCTCGACCCGACGTCTCTCTCTCTCCGCTGCCAGAGACTCCTGATGCTGCCGGTACGAGGACGAGAGGAGGCCTCCGAGAGCAGGCCTGACACACACACACACACATATTAGACATTATAAAATCATTGTTTGGTAAAGTTGCACCATTTATAGTCAGAGTTTTGAGCAGTTTTAGGTTTTGCATTCCTGGCGTTACGTGTGTTCCTGAGGGGTCAGATCGACAGAGACAAGCGTTCGCGACTTTCTAAATTTCAACCACAAAACTCCTCGAATCCATTACATTTTTTAATTCAAGTGCACCAAAAGTCCTGCGATGGACATATATATATATATATGAACATACATAACATATAACATGGAATATTTCAATTTCAACAATTTCAGCTTCAGTGTGTGTGTGTGTGTGTGTGTGTGTGAACTCACCGTTCATTCTGTTGTTTGTCAGGTGTAGATGGAGAACTTGCAGCAGAACATGACCTGAGACACACACACACACACACACACAGATGAAGTCATTAGATGTGCGTTCACACTCACGCCCTAATGTGATGCATTCACACGTCACACTCTTCCTCAGTATTTCCAGCACAAAAATCGAAACATTCTGAAATCAAGATGCATTTCCATCAGAAGCAAAACGACTGAAGATATTATGAGAATCTGTCGAAAATGACGTGAGTTTGTGTTTAAAACAAGAGCAGATCTCAGCCAGTGGAGTCAGGGAATAACAGTGAAGTGAATCTGTGAGAACTCGCTCTGATTGGTCCAGAGACACGCGTGCGCAGGTGCAGGAGGTGACGGGGTTAGAGGCTGTTGCATCATGGGACAACGTGGCTGAAGCTTCTACCTGCTGTTCTCCTCCTCCACATCATAGGAGAAGAGGAAGAAGGGTGAGTGAGGCAGGTACGGCAGGTGGGCGGAGCTTCGCAGCGGAGGGCTGATCTGATTGGTCGGTGGCACGGTGACGGTGGACTTGCGGCGCGCGAGCAGATTGGCCAGGAGAGACGGCTGGGCGGAGTCAGGAGGGGGCGTGGCCTTCCTCTCCTCCTCCTCTTCCTCAGGTGTGTGTTGGTCACAGTGCTCTGATTTACTGAACACGAGCATCATGGGTAAAACATACAGTGACTAGTGCTTTATAACGCTTATATATACTGGCTCTGGGAAACAGTGTTAAAGACATCCAACCCACCACAAACACGTTAATAATGACCGATTAAAGCCTTCTGTGTGCCAATCAGGTAAATAACTGATCATATATATTTAATAACATAATCATTTATATATTTATATATATAATAATATAATTATACATACATAATATATATATATAATTTATTATATTACTATATATATATATATATATATATATATATATAAATAATGCAATACTGATAGTATAAGTATAGTATAATATATAATAATAAAATACATAATATATATATATTTATGCATATAATATATAATACTGATAATATGTTAAATGATATAATATAATATAATATAATATAATGCTGAAACTACAGAATTACAGATCTAATATATTGAAATATAACAGTATGACCAGCAGGATAATTAGTCTGAAACACAAGGATAGAGACAGTAAATGTGTCCAGGTGTACTCTGGGTAATATGAGGTTATATACAAGACATAAATGACTAAACTGCATATATTAAGTTCTACAGAGTGTGTCAGGGCTCCTAGAGGAGGTGTGAGCAGTGGAGGACATCATTTCCTCTGACATCATCAGTGTGAGACACAGAGAGCGTGTTTAAAGGGTTCCAGGACTCGAGGTCAGAGGGAAGACTGTGTGAAAGCTGACTGAACAGAGATTCCAGAGCCGCACTGAAATACCTGATGACACTGACACTAGAAGAGTTAATTTCCCCTTCCTCCTCCTCATCATCATCATCATCATCTGAGCCTGACTCTGTGATTGGACTTTCCTCCTCACCCTCCTCTTTTCTGCAGCCGGGCAGAGAGAGAGAATCACGGACAACACAAGCGTCTGCGCATGTTTGTGACATCATCATCATCATCACTGGCCTCTTCATCATGAAAACACTTTAGTGTGTTGGTTATTATGACAGCAGCTCAAGGTGCAATACACACGTGAAATGAGTCTGAAAATACTAAATACTAATACAATCTATGAACCTAAGACTGATCTGAGGTGAGCCGAACGCGTCACATGACCATGTGATGTGCATGTGATCAGTTTGTGTTAGTTATCGATCATAACCACAGCAGAGATACTGAACGAGCCTACAAACATGTGTTCATGAGCCAAACACACAATTAAATTGATATATTTCACTCAAAAATCCCTCATCACACTTTAAAACGAGCACAAACAAATGAATGTAAATAATGATAATATAATAACACTGATAATATGTCAAATAACAATATTGTATAAAATATTATACATATAAATAATGCTGGTAATAAAATACTGATGATAAATAAACCACTAAATATATGTAAATAAACATATGCCAATAATCCATAATATAATATAATAACTGTAAAAAAAGTTATTTCGCTTCAAGTAAAGTCAACTTAAATATTTTTGTTCATCTAACGAATAACAGTAGCTTTAACTCGTCAAGGCAACTAGAAAAACCAGTTGAGCCAACTTCAAAAAATAAGGAAACCAATCACAAGATAAGAGCAAAAGATTAGATGATCAAAAATATTTAAGTTGACTTTAATTATAGAGAATTAGTTGAGGTAACTTATAAATGCGAGAGTGAAAGGCTGCCTTATTTTTTTAAGTTAGCTCAATTTTTTTATAGTGATAATAATAAAATAAAAATCTCCCATATTAATTTTTTTCATCATTCAAAGTTTAAAAACTGCAGACTATGAATGTCCTTCTAAGAAATATTTATGAATAAATATTCATCCAAAGAAACTATTAAAATGGCAAAAGTGAGTGTGAGTCTGATGAAGACTTACATCACTGGGAGATATTCATGCGTCACATGATCTCTGCAGCAAAAACACATCGAGAACACACCGTCACACTCCATCACACGCTGGAAACGTGTTCGAAACCCTAGTGCACATGCAGCGCCCTTCTTAGGGAACACCTCCATAACTCCATCACTCGCTGATCTGAAACCCTTTCACACGGACACTCGCCTGTGAAATCCACTTAGTTTTGTCCAAGATTACTGTACGCTTCATTTTTGCCAGAAATCTGTTTTCATTTTTTTAAATTTTTTTAATTAAATTGTAAGAAAAACTTAAATCAAGATCTGTGTCTAAAAATCTGAATCCATACATTTATTCATTTATAAAAATGTAAACGTTTACACCGCTCTATGAAATCTGTTTTATCTGTTTACACTTCTTTGGATTACTTTTTTAATTGATTAATTAATCTTCAAAAATAATGCCTAAACCTCTCAATTCATAAAACATTAACAATTTATTAATTTTTGAAATTTTAACATTAATATGTTCCAATAAAATGTGTTTTATTTATTCCCCAAATTCTGTTTTGTGTTTTGATTTTTCTGGATTTAGTTTTTCTGGTTTTATCATCAAAAATGGAGGAGGAATTTATCAATTTACCATAAATAAAGGTAAAGTTCAGTACATTTTGAGCTGTATAATAAATTCCTTATTATATGACTAGATTCTGTCTGAGTTTGATCAATTTGTACCAGATGTTGCACTGATTTTGTATAATTATCATAATTGTATATTATTTGTCGATTCGTTTGACATGGGATGCCTTCAGACGTGTGTGAGGAGTGTCATACCTCTCATTGAGCTCGGGTCCGTTACACCGTGAGCGGTGTGGGGAGGAGGGGCTAAGTGGGGAGGCGTGGCCTGTCCTGCCCAATGAATGCCTGCGACTGCGGCGTCTCTCCAAGCCCCGCCTCTCTCCAGTGCCAACGCTAGCCCGCCGCCGGTCCCGCGCACCGTCCTCATCACCGTCCTCGTGACGAAGAGTCGCCTGCGGGTCACAACCGTATCAGTCAGCGGCTATGCAAATATCTTAAAGGGATGGATACAAAAGTACAAAAATCCATCATAAAAGTGCCAGGACATGTTTAATATAACTATGATTGTGTTCGTCTGAGAGAAGAATGTCATACACACATCTAGGATGGCTTGAGGGAGAGTAAATCATGGGCTCATTTTAATTTTGGGGTGAACTATCCCTCTAGTAATATCAGGAAAGCGATTGTGTAATAAAATAAAGACCTCGTAGATGTTGAGCTGCTCCAGCAGGTCCAGGTCGGTGCCCTTGCGCCCCAGGTACCGCTGGGAAACGCTTTCCATGCCCTGATCCTCCAGGATGTCCAGCAGGTCATAGAACGAGTCCTGATCGGGCAGCGCCGCCAGCGTCTGACACACACACACACACACAGAGAGAAAGAAAGATAGAAAGAGAATGAACAGCATATCAGTCTCTTCAGAATTTTATGATGGGTATGTTTAGAGGTAGGGTAAGTGTGTGTGTGTGTGTGTGTATTACCTTGTTAATGAGGGTCATCACATACACCAGCAGCTCTGTGTCCACACCATCTTTCTCCGCTAAAATCTCCATCGCATTTGACCACTGCTTACAGCCTGAACAACAAACACACACACACACTTTTTAACTTTTTATAAGCATCAGAAACTGTACGATCAACCTTATCAAGAACATGCAATAGCTATAATTCAACCCAAAATAAGAAATTATATTTTGGATGAATTATTGCATTGTGACCCCCCCCCCCCCCCCCCCACACACCCAAAAATCTTCATTAAGACAAAAAAGACAAATTATTTATGATAAATATTTTATTACATTTTAAATTGATATTATTATTATTATTATTATTATATTTAAATAAAATTAATCAAAAATAATTATTCATGATAGTTCCATAATTAATTATAATAAATTAATTATAATTACTCTATAGTAAATATTTATTAATTATATTTATATTTATTATTTATAAAATGCATGCATCATGCATATTTTGCATGGCTTTAAAATGATTAATAATAAATAATTATTATGAATTAAATAATTACATACCATTCATAATTGTTATTTTAATTATTTATTATTTAAATAATTCATGCATCATGCTAGAATTTGGAGTGGCTTTAAATGCATGCAAATATATATGAAAAATAATTATATTCCAGTAATGTTTATTATCGTTATTTTTATTTTTTATATAATTACACAACACAAAAAAAAGTCAAATTACTTCCAGTACTGAGAATGAGATTCTGGGTGTTACAGTGAATTGTTCCAATGAAAAGTAAAATAATCTCAGACATGTTTTCAGTGGTGTTGACATTGCTTGCACTGCATTGTGGGATAGAGTGTGTTGAGTCACCTCTCTCGGTGTCGACGCTGCGGATGGCCTGGATGAGCAGCGCGGCGTTGGACTCGCAGTACTCCACAAACACCAGCAGGAGCTTCAGAGACGTCTTCACCACCAGACGGAACTGAGACACACACACACACTCGCATTCTCATCATCATAATGACATCATATATACTGATCTACAACACACACGCGCACGCTACCTTCGAGCCGACGAGCAGGTAGAGCCACTGGATGGTCTCAGCGTGACCTATGACCCCGTTCATCCCGTCCACATACAGCATGATCTGACCCAGCGCTAGAGAGAGGCAAAATGCTAAGTGAAGCTTCTTGGCAACCAGAAGGTGGCGCTGTTGTTCCTCAAACACAGAAGCCGTGCCAGAAAACACCATAGAGACATGATGAACACACAACAACAGACAATTATGATGTAAAAACCTCTCTCTCTCTCTCTCTCTCTCTCTCTGTGTGTGACTGAAGTGTGTGTTGAAGGTGACGAACCTCTGAGGATGTAGTTCTGGTAGTTCTGATCCGCTTCAGCGCCGACCTTGATCAAACACGTCAGACCTTCAGCCATCACGAACTCATGCACCAGGTCCTTATCGTCCTACACACACACAAAACACACCGTCTCACACACACACACTTTCACATTCACATGTATTAAAAAAGCTGTTTTTACCTGGAATATCTGCTTGAGGGAAAACAGCGCCCTCCTCAGGTCACGGCCATTACAGTTATACAGCTTCTCTGCAGAGAGAGAGAGAGAAAGAGTGTGTGTGTGTGTGTGTGAGAGAGAGAGAGAGAGAGAGAGAGAGTTCAGGGTCTGTATGTCATGGAAACACAACAGGAACTGCAGGAATGTTCTGATGAAGATGCCAGAAGAACGAAAACCCCTCAGAATAAACATCAATCTTCATCATCATCACCAAAACCTAACCAAATCATCATCATCAACATCATCATCATCATCATCACCCTAACCTAACCCCATCATCATCATCATCATCATCATCATAATCCTAACCTAACCCCATCATCATACGGCAGATTATTCAATCGAGAGAGAGAGAGAGAGAGAGAGACGGCACATCAGTCACACGCTAATTAAAGTCAATCTCAATTTTTCGTTCCCTTTCGAAGGGAACTCAACAATACGTCGAATGACGCTATGGGGAACGCCTCAGGCGTGACAGGTGTCTGAAATCAAATATCAACTCACAGTAATCAGGTTGACCGGCGACAGCCCGTGCATCATCAGCTTGAATGATGAGCGCGTCAATCTGGATGTATAAGAAGGGCGCCTTGAAACCGTGACAACATCTTTTCGTCTTCAGGGACTGTTTGTCTGTGTGATAGTATCAACGATTAAACGCGCAGAGACGTGGAGAAACACTTTGCGCGAGTGTGCCGACTTGTGTCCAGATATTTGACACCGGAGGATTCACACGATCTGTGCGTGTTCTGCCTGAGAGAAGAGCATTCGCGGGAAGCTCTCGAGGGAGTTTTTTGCGCGAACTGAGAGTTTTTCCTTTCAGAACTCTCTGCTCTCGTCTGACCCACTTCTCGAGGAAAGTGGGCGCGGCATCTGAACCCCGCGGTTCCGGTTCCCGCTCGGGCTGAGGCTCAGTGGCGGTTGAGCTCGTGGAGCTTTCAGATGGAGCTGGCAGATTATCGGGAGAGGGGCGTTAACCTCGCGGATGATCTACCAGCTGACGAGGGTGAGTTACAGATTAATGTTGAACATCTAAGAAGAGAGAAAATGAGCGCTTTCTCTCTTTGGTGAATCTGTAACTGTTCTCTTTGGGCAGGGCAGGAGTTGGCTGTAATATATATATATATATATATATATATACATAAAAGGATGTCAGTTTGGTTGAGACCGAATCATTTCAGCCCTCCTGCCCAGTGTACGCTGAGCTGGTTGACATTATGGGGCGCGCCTCAGACAGATTGCTGTTGCAGTGGAGGCGCGTCTGGGAGGAACCCGCTCATGGTATTTTGGATGGCTGGTTCCTCCCCACCCATAAGCCACCAGCCCGGATGAGCCTTCCATTCGTTTCCGATCTCCACGCTGGGATCGAGAGGGTATGGAAGAATCCGTTCTCCTCACGTCTCTATCTGCATCAGCGGGCTAGTTTCGCTGCTGTGGAGGGAGCCGTGGAGAACGGATAAGTGTCGAGGCCGCCAGTGGACGAGACGTTGGCTAACTATCTCGTCTCTGGTTGGTCCTCTTCACTAAGAGCTCTGACACTGTCATCCAAGCTGCTCAAGACATCTTCATGCTTGAATGACAGAGCGTACACGGCAGCAGGTCAGGCAGGTGCGGTTCTGCACGCCCTTGTGGTCCTCAGGCCTACCAGACCGATCTGTTGCGGGACTCCGGGCCACCAAGCAAGCTGCTGTTCTGTCGGTGCTATGGTGGCCACGGAGAGACATCTGTGGGAGCTCCCACATACTGTGGTTGCCAGGTTACAGGCCTCACCAGGCCTTCCTGGTTATGAGCTCCCACTGATTGTGGTCACCGGGTTACAGGCCTCACCAGGCCTTCCTGGTTATGAGCTCCCACATGCTGTGGTCGCTGGGTTACAGGCTTCACCAGGCCTTCCTGGTTATGAGCTCCCACATACTGTGGTTGCCAGGTTAAAGGCCTCACCAGGCCTTCCTGGTTATGAGCTCCCACACATTGTGGTCGCCAGGTTACAGGCCTCACCAGGCCTTCCTGGTTATGAGCTCCCACATACTGTGGTCGCCAGGTTACAGGCCTCACCAGGCCTTCCTGGTTATGAGCTCCCACATACTGTGGTCGCCAGGTTACAGGCCTCACCAGGCCTTCCTGGTTATGAGCTCCCACATACTGTGGTCACCAGGATACGAGCTCTCACGTACTGTGGTCGCCAGGTTAAAGGCCTCACCAGGCCTTCCTGGTTATGAGCTCCCACACATTGTGGTCGCCAGGTTACAGGCCTCACCAGGCCTTCCTGGTTATGAGCTCCCACACATTGTGGTTGCTAGGTTACAGGCCTCAAAGGGGCCTTCCTGGTTATGAGTTCCCACTTTCTGTGGTGGTCAGGTTATAGGCCTCACCAGGCCTTCCTGGTGATGAGCTCCCACACATTGTGGTTGCTAGGTTACAGGCCTCAAAGGGGCCTTCCTGGTTATGAGTTCCCATATACTGTGGTAGTCAGTTTACAGGCCTCACCCAGCCTTCCTGAATGTGGGCTCCCACATGATGCGGTAGCCAGACTACAGCCTCACCACCTTCCCTCAGCACTTTGCCCCACTCTGTGGTCACCAGGCTTCAGGCTTCATTGGCCTTCCTGGTTGTGAGTTGTCACATGTCAGGTTGCAGGCTTCACCAGGCCTTCCTGAATGTGAAACCCCCACTTTTCGTGGTCGCTAAGTTGTAGTGGTGAGTCTTCACATGTCAGGCTGCAGGCCTCAGCGGCCTTCCTGAATGTGAGCTCCCCATGCATTGGGACTATCGGGTGTTAGGCCTTGTCAGGCCTTCCTGATTATGGGTTCCCACTTGTTGTGGCTGCCAGGTTACAGGCCTCAAGTTCGGCCTTTCTGAATTCAGAGTGAAGTACACTAACCCCTACTTCACCTATTATTGTGGTAAATCACATGACGGGATGTCTTGTGTACTTTCTAAAATCCATTTTGTATGGTAAGGGTCACGCGTGGTATGCTTCGGTCCCTTCTTATGTGGCTCAGACCCCGGTCTTCCCTTGGGTCCCACTTTAAGTGGCGTCCTGTCACTGGCTACAGGGACGCCCTTCTCTGGCTAACTTCTGGAAGAAGTAGCTTCCACTTGGTGGAGTAAGCTCCCACAGGTTGTGGTCACCAGGCTGGGTCTCACTGACCTTCCTGAGTACGAGCTCCCACCCAATGTGGTCGCCAGGTTACAGGCCTTACCAGGCCTTCCTGGTCATGAGCTCCCACACACTGTGGTCGCCAGGTTACAGGCCTCAACAGGCCTTCCTGGTTATGAGCTCCCACATATTGTGGTTGCTGGGTTACAGGCCTCACCAGGCCTTCCTGAATTCAGAGTGAAGTACACAAACCCATACTTCACCTATTATTGTGGTAAGTCACCTGACGAGATGTCTTGTGCAGTTTTTAAAATCCATTTCATATGGTGAGGGTCACGCGCGGTATGCTTCGGTCCCTTCTTATGTGGTTCAGACTCCGGTTCTTCACTTTGGGTCCCACTGTAGATGTGTCTTTGTCGCAATACATTACGACAGGCACTTCCCTTGTTCAAGCTATCTCCCACAACTGTGGTTTTAGGTCTGATTAGACCTTTTTCGAGGTAGCCCAACATTGTGGGTCTGTCAGGTTTCTAGCCTCTGGCTTTCCTGAAGGATGAGCTTCCACATGCTGTGGTCGTTGGGTTTCAGGCCGCACAACGTACGGCCTTCCTGACATGAGCCCTCATGTATCGGAGCTCCCCACACATGGGGTCATCAGGTCTTAGGTCTCTTTGACCTTCCTGATTTTTGATCCCTCTCTTACTTCCTCAGTGCTCAAAAGCGAGCACTGGGTGGAAACTCGTGGATTGAGTGTACGATTCCCATTGGTTCGAGGTTGAGTCACACTCTCCGGAGGATCCCGTCTCTGTGATCCGAAACTCGATGGTTTCCGCCAGCTTCGCGGGCCTTCAGTTTTTGGATGCCTTTTCTAGGCAATTTCCAGAGGCTCTGTCTTGGACGGACAGGCTATGGCCAGACTGTGTGTCTTAGTACAGATCACCAGGCCAGCCTGGGGGCATTTCAGGAGGAGTGTTCTCCTGAATAGTGACTGGCTGGGGGTCTCTTTGGCCCCTAGCCACACTCCCTAGAAGGGACCCCTTCTATTTTGAAGTTGTGGTCCTAAAGCCTTTGAGCTGGCCCTGATTTACTCACGTTATTACGTTCTGGTTTTTCTTGGTTCATTAGCTTGGGCTATGACCGGTAGGGAGTGCTGTCACTGACAGCCCGATGTAACATAGGGTGAGTGGTTTCAGTGTTTCTTGGAATTACTGGTTCTGACAGTTGTCACTGCCTTTCGGCATGCACTCCCCTCAGCATGGCGGAGTGGGTATTTCGTTCCCCATAGCGTCATTCGACGTATTGTTGAGTTCCCTTCGAAAGGGAACGTCTCAGGTTACAACTGTAACCTATGTTCCCTGAGAACAGGGAACGAGACAATACGTCTCGTTGCCATGCCTCGGGGCCTGCCTGCAACAGTCCCTTCAGACGATAGGATGTTGTCACGGTTTCAAGGCGCCCTTCTTATACATCCAGATTGACGCGCTCATCATTCAAGCTGATGATGCACGGGCTGTCGCCGGTCAACCTGATTACTGTGAGTTGATATTTGATTTCAGACACCTGTCACGCCTGAGGCGTTCCCCATAGCGTCATTCGACGTATTGTCTCGTTCCCTGTTCTCAGGGAACATAGGTTACAGTTGTAACCTGAGACGATTTCAAATGAGCTTTATCAGCATGACTGTGCAACACAATGTTGCCAGTGCATTCATAAAAAATAAAACAAACAAAACATGTGTGTATAGATCATGTGATATGTGGCATTCATTTTAATAAAGATATCTCTGACATTATAAAGTTACACACCAGCTCAAGTCACTCGTGCTGAAAGATCAAGCGTTTTCAACTGTGAATCTCTTTAGTGTGTGTGTGTGTGTGTTCACTGGTTCAGTGTCCCGCTCACCTTCCCACAGGCACTGATCAATACACTGATCAA